CAAGTTCTCCGGATTCTCATCGTCTAATGCCGGAATGGAAACATCATGCCACTCATCGTGATCACGTCTAACCTTCGACTGATTCACACGTACCACTGCCTTACCAGTGTTGGCTTGGACCATAGCTCCTTCTTGTCCAAGTACTGTGGCACGAACCCAACGTCCTTTATCCTTGAACTTTGATGAATCCTGAGTCCAAATAAAAACCTTCTCTCCTTGGAAATAAGGACCGTCACTTGGCATAGTCCTTCTCGCAAGATCTGCTCGAAGGTCCTGAGCTTGTCGTGCTTCTTGATGAGCTCTCAAAGCCACACGTTGTAGTTCCAAATTTGTACGATCTTGTGCGGCGGCATTAGCTGACAATTGCTCAGGGCTTGCGGTCTCAAGGTCAAAAAGATCTGGTGGACGTCTTCCAGTTGCTATCTCTATTGGTGAATATCCACTGATAGTCAACTGACAATTTCTTGCCCACACTACCTTCTTGACCACTTCTCTGACCGTAACACCACGAAAACGTGGGTCATCCAGATCTACCTTCATAACATGCCACATACGTTTGAACAAACGTACAGCTGTCTCTGCTCGGTTCGGCCAAGGAGTTCTTGGCCCACAAGGACATTGTTGTATACCATGGAACCTGTAGTATTCAACAAAAGCATCTGTGAAAAAGGCTTCGTCTCCTACGATGGCCTTTGGAACACAGTTGTTCTCATCAGACCATTGCCTCAATGCTTGGATGGTGGTTTGATCTATGAGGTCTTTCTGTGCCGTAGCCCAGAGAAGATTTGTGGCACCATCAAGAACAAGTAAGATGATATACTTGTTCTTGTGAAGTTCAACCTCACAATGATCAGCAAAAACAACATCACCAAAACATGAAGCTCTAATACCGGAGACTCTGGCTCGTGGCGGAGGTGCCACTGAAGTGTTACAAACACGGCAGTTCCTGACAACTGATTCATACTTCTCTAAAACAGAGTCAGGAAGCTTCAACATAGAAACACGTCTACGAAACTGAGTAGGACTCATATGGTAGTGCTTCACATGAAGCTTATAAAGCTCTACCTTGTCCTCCAGTCTCTGTAACATCTTCCTATATGCCGGTGTCATTGCAACAACTTCACTACCAGGTAATGGGATTGAAATCCGCCTAGGCTCAAGAGCGCCATCACCTGGTTCAAGTGGTTCATGTTTATCACTTGATGGTCCTTTTGATGCTTTAGGAATTTCTACAAGTTCACCTTCTGGCCTCTCAGGTGGTTCTGAGGGAGCATACTCCTCAAGATCATCACCCTTTAAATCATTCTGAGGCTCAGATGGTTTTGACTTGTGTCCTTTCCAAAATGGATCAAAACCCTTGGAAGTATACCGGAACTTTGGCGGCACGGGCTTTTCCGCGGCACTGGATGGTGCACCTTCCTTCTCTGACGAGAAGCCTGGTTCCCTGTCCTTTGCAATGGGAACCTTCTCTGAGGAGGAGCGCACCACTGCATCGGGATCACCAATGCCACGGTGCTCAATGCCAGCCTTCCTGATCTTTAGATCTGGAATTTTTGCATCTGGCTTAAATTTAAAAATTGTTCTACCACGCCATTCATAGCCAAGTTGTAGGTCCTTCCATTTTGCCTTGCGCCAATCATCTGTCTTCTTGATTTCTTCTCCTCCTTTCTTCTTCTTGATGATTGTCAGTCGCAAGTCTTCCAGCAAGTCAGTGTCTACAGGACAGGACTTAGTTGCTGGGAAAAGAATTTTCCTGTAATCCTTGTGGTGACGTATCAGTTCTCTCTTGTGAACATCTACTTCCCAGAAATCAACCACAGGATATGCATGCTCAGCTTCACCTTCATCACTATTGTGTTCAACAGAAATATGGCCATATTCATAGTGAGTGAGGTGAGAGTAAAAACTCTTCTCACGCTGAGTCTGCCAACGCACGTCAGACAGATACCATGCAATATCTTGGAAGTCCAACACAAGATGAGTACTGGCTGCAACCTTCAACTCCAAAAATTTGATACCAAGAGGCACCGATGTCAGATAAGCATGTTGAGGTGTCAGCCTGAGTTCAAAGCCTAAGTTCCTCATCTGTGGCAAGCTCATAAGCAAAGGGACTTCTCCTTCTTCCACTATGTCGAACTCTGTATGGTGGATCGTCCATGCACGATCATACATATAAATCACCAGTTTCTGAGAGCAAGTAGCCTTCTGGGAATTGGCAAAGTAAAACTTGCTCTTGGTAGCCTCAAAAGAGTACCATAATCCACAATCTGGGTGATTGTCGACATAGTTACAAAAATGGTCGACTGCTCGCCTTGATCCCATAGCTCTAGTGCATCCAATGTCCAGGATTGCAATAGTTGGCGGGAAGCGATTCTCAGTCAAAAATGAAATAGCCTGCATCTCCTTCACTTCTTCCTCAGCGCTCATAAGCGCAAAGCCATCAGCGCTCATAAGCGCAAAGCCATCAGGAGCCTTTGTGAGCATCTCCTTTGACAAAGAGTACCTCACAGGGGCACTCATGTCATCGAAGATCGTCTCACCATTGTTGACCACGCAGTCAGCTTCATCTTGGCATGAGGTCATCATGCCTGACAGCAAGTCCACCTCACTGTCATGGACTTCAGCTGCTGCTGTCACACAATGTACATAGAAACATTGTTGACCTCCTGATGCTTGTGAAGTTCTTGAAGGTGCAGGTAAAGAACGTGGCTGTTGTTGATTTGCATAGGTTGCATCTTGTTTGCCATCTCCTTTATCTTTTCCTTTTCCTTTCTTGCCTTTTCTCTTGCCTTTTCCTTTTCCCTTGTGGGAAAACCATGCTTCTTCAAGCTGTTGCCAAAAGTCATTGGCGTCATCATATTCTCCTTGAAGATAGTCATTCATATCCTCGGCAAGAATGGCATCATATGCTCCTTGGTTTGACTCCCAAGTGTCCTCATAAGGATTCTCTTCAAGGTATTCATCTGGAAAAGTTGTCTGTTGCTCATCAGCAAAATGGCCTTTACCTCGTCTCTTTCCTTTTCCTTTTCCACGAGGTCTGAAGAATCTACGGCCTGATCTTCCTTTTCCTTTTCCTTTCCTTCTACCTTTTCCTTTGCCTTTTCTGGCTCTTCTTCCTTGGAATCTCCTTTGGAACCATGAGAAGTTTTGATCATCATATACCCAAAAGACATCGTCCAGGGCATCTAAAAATCCTTCAGTTCCATCTTCTTCATCTTCGGCCCAATAGCCAAATGTACCATCGAGTTCTCCTTCGTCTAGTACGAGAAATGATCTTCTGCCTCCAGCACCTGTCGGCTGCATCAATGGATTGTCTACTGAAGTCTTTGTCGTGCAGAACATCTCGATGAAAACTGTCCTCAGCTCTGTTGTAGTGTATTGCTGCAGGTACCTGCCACGATGAGTCATCAAAGAAGTCAAAGTGTTTCGCTGGTCCTGAGACAAATCTGCAAGTGACAGCATGAGTAAAGCAATCAGATTTTCTCCTAGAGGAAATTCGTTCTGATGAAGAATTCTCATATTGCCATTGACATTCTGCATGATTTCCTGAATCCTTTCTGCCGTTGGTGCTACTCCAGTCAACGCTGCATCTGCCTGCATCTGAGCAAGGACTTGGGGATGTGCTTGAGTGACTGGTTCTAACATGTCCATCCAACTGCTCATAAGCCTTTGGAGTAAAATCTGGAATCTTGTCATCCATTTCATCATGTCGGCTGATCCTCGATTGAATCGCACGAATTGCATAAACCTGTATAGGAATACATTGGTTGATCCTTTCACGAAATATGGTCGTAGTACTCGTTTGAAGTAATCTACTCCTGCTCCTGGTGGCTCATTAGCCTTCAATGAATCTCTGTCAAATACACGTTTGTATACTGCTGCTTCTCCTTCTAATCTGTTTCTCAAGGCTGGTCCTCTCTTCTCTTCTTCCAGCTCGGTGATATCACACCAATCGTCTATGGCATCCTCATAGGAAAACCATGAAGTCTTTCCATCATAAGATGGGGGCACCTTTGTAGTGACCTGTGTTGTCATTGCTATTGCTGCTGGTTCTCTTCTCACATGCCTATTCACATAGGCTGCTGGCTCATAAGCCACATCCGCATCAGGCTCTTCCCAGTCGTCAATCCAATCCATGGCCGTTTGCCCACAAGCAATTCTATGCCTAGGAAAGGAGCTCACCTGGGTCTTCCAGGATCACAGCTCCGCTACCACTGAAAGAGTGACTAGGGCGTACACGGTAGAGGTGCAGACCGCTAGTGTCTTTTATGCGCAGAGTCTTGTCCTCTTGCTCTTTAGGTCCATTGACCCTCTCTTGAGCCTTGAAGCAGTCAAGCATGGACACACTATATCAGCTGTTGGAGTGGAACCCTGTACAGGTAGGCTCTACTTTTCAGGGGGGGGGTCTGTATTGAAAAATCAATTCCAAGGGGG